TTTTTTTTATTTTTATTTTTTTATTTATTTACGATAGTCACAGAGAGAGAGAGGCGAGGCACAGGCAGAGGGAGAAGCAGGCTCCATGCCGGGAGCCCGACGTCGGACTCGATCCCGGGTCTCCAGGATCGCGCCCTGGGCCAAAGGCAGGCGCCAAACCGCTGCGCCACCCAGGGATCCCGAGTTCTGAATTTTTAATATATATTTTGTCTTTAAGAACTTTATAGCATGGTGTGTCACTGATGGATACTACCCAAAATGAATCTTGACTTTGCGTCTTAACTGGCTATGTGGCTGGGAAAGTTACTTAGCTGTTCTAAGACTAAGCTTTCTAATTTGTAAAACAATGCCCTATTGCAGAATCACAGAAGATGGAATAATAATACAGATAAAGCACATAGTATAGTGCCCCGCTCATAGTAGGTGCTTAATAAATGCCACTTATTATTATAATGAAATTAAAATGTTAAAATATAAATTATAATATTAAATTAAAATATTAACATTTCTAAAGTTTTGTGGTATTTATTTATTTATTTATTTATTTATTTATTTATTTATTTTAGAATTGTTAAATATGTGTGGGTAGACAAGGTTAAGGGAATAAAGGACAAAGAACAGTTGTCCTGGGATCTGGCACTGTTGGGAGGACTGATTTCTGGGACACAGTTTTGCAGAGAATTATTGTTAAAAGCTTCAGCTAGGGAAGATGCTTCTTTCGGGACATCTCTGAGTAGTGCTGACCACGGATGTGGATCCTTCTCGGGTCTAAAACTTTCAAAGGGCATAGACTTTCTGAAAGTGTTAGTATCAAGCTTCTTGTTCTTGGGTCTCCATGGATTAATTAAATTAGTTCCCATCCTTCATTTTTGTGGATCAGTTTTTAGGTAGATTTGCTTCTTATGCTTTAATGGAGATTTACTTAGAAAATAAATTATGTCTCTTTATCTTCTAGAATACCCCAGTTATCCCGGGGAAGCAGGTGGGCTTGTGCAGTTCTATTCTTTTGGGGTAATCCATGACCAGGATTCTTTATGGGGCTGGAAATTTGCTGTAGAGGAGGAAGCTGCTTCTGAGATATGCAAACAAGAAGGCTAAAGCTGGTGGGCTTAAAGCTATTTCATTTCCACCAGCTTTTTTTCTACAACATAAGACTATTCTAGGGGATAAAGGGGGGGATGGGATGTAAAAATCACAGACCCCCTAAGACACAGTCCTGACCTGCAGAGATGTGTAACCTGGTAGGAGAGATGGATAGAACAACAACCAACCATAATACAAGGCAGAATGAACTATGAACCTTGCTTATGGTAAAAACCATGGGTTGAGAAAGCTGGAGAAAGGAGAAACCATATCTAGGTGGTTAGGTGAGGACTAAGATGTCCAAAGGTAGAAGAGTTGGGAAAGGGCATTATTGGTGGTAGGGTAGCCTGGGCACAGAAGCAAGTACATGCTCAGATGAACAGGGGTTGGCAAATTGTGAGTGTAAAGAAAGTGTGGGTAAAACAGAGGATGCTGGAGTGGAAGGAGAAGCTGGCTAGATTTTGAACTCAACCTTTAGGACTTTATAGGGCCACTTGTAGGTCTTCGTAGGCTGGTGGTGGTCCTAGATGTTCTATGCAATGGACATCCATTCAATCATGTTAAAATGCATCTACATCCCACACTAAGATCAACATGTAAGAACTGCGTTGAGGGAGTGGAGCCCTCACTGACTAGTCAGTGTACCTACAGATGTGATCCCAGGACCAATGTCAGGCCAGATGGAGTCTGGAATCAGTTTGGGATGAAATGAGTACAAGACTTGAGAGGAAATGTTGAGGAGCTTTTACAGCAATTTGTCATTGCCGCAATAATGAAGCGTGTGATTAATTTTCTGGTAATTCATTTTTATTTTAATTTCCAAAAATATTGGTCCACAACATAATGGAAAGACATTGGCCAAAAATACATTGGAGTTTTTTTTTTTAATTTCCACAGTTTAATTTTTTTAAACATTGGAACAATTTTTTAAAGTGAGCAGCTCTGATCTAGTCAAAGTAATATTACTTTTTAAAGAAATGAGCTAAGAGATGACAGTGAAGAGAGTCTGTGAACTTGAAGATAAGATCAATAGAAATCAAACAGTTTGAATAGCAGAGGAAAAGGAGATGGAAATATCCAGTACTCAGCATCGTATCCACACTGAGGTAACTATGCCTATACATTCTGACTTAGGTAAAGATAATTGTGTGGCAAGTACAGAAATCCATTCAAACTAACATAGAACAAAGCCAAATGTGTATGTGTGGTGATGGTGGGGCAGGGTTGTTAGTAGAAGGCTCCAGAAGTACATCAAGGAATTCAGGGGCAGGCAATGCCATTGCATGTAATGAGGGATGAGTGGGAAATGGACAGTCACTAGGAATCTCTTCCACTCTTCTCTCTCTCCCTCTTTCCCCCTGCAGTGCATGCTGTGTTGCATTGCCCAGATCCTCCTTCAGGAATAAAAGACTTACTTTCCTAGCTGCTGGGAGGACTCAGAAACAGCCTCTGTTACCTCTGCTAGCCTCTGGGGATTGCTGTGGTTAAAACACAGCCTCACTTGGGGCCATGCTTTCTTCCAGCCTACATCCAGTGACTAATCACCATGGAGGTGGAAAGATCTGGTGGGTCTCCTTGCTCCAACTTGGGATACCTGAGAAGGAGAATCTCAGTTCCCTACAGGGCTGCTTTTATTGGAACTGCATCATGACTCAGCTGCTCTCTGCCAAATTCTCCTTTCTTCTCATCCTTTCTAGGTGGCATCTCAAGGGTACCACCTAATAAATGTGTGTATGTTAGCTTCACAGAGTCTGGTTCTCAGGCGAATTTACCAGGGTCACCAGACCTCCCTCCCTCTTCCTTTTCCTCCCTTTTCTCTCTCTCCTTTTCTCTCTCTCTTTGCTCTTCCTCCTCCTCCCCCTCAGACTATAGCTTCTCACCTTCACTTCTCTCTGACCTTCTACATCATTCTCTTCTTACCTTTCAGACCAGCTTCCTCTGCTCTTACAGCTGCTCCAAAATGGTGTCTTCAGCATCTCTGTCACGGTGCCTGTAGCCTATGCCCTTGTTTCCTTTATTGGGTTGAAGTACCCATCCTGCAGCTGCCATGGGTGTCAGTTCATAACAGCCTAGATTTGCATACTTATCCGGAGGATTGTCCTTAGCCAACGGGAACCTTCATTGCTGGAGATGTCCGAGAGGTCATCTCTTTCATGTCCCCATACTCTTTGGTCAAAGACTATCAGATGGGAGGTATAAACATCCATTCTCCTTGCCTCAAGGCAGGACACACTGTGTGGTATGATTCACACTCTGGATTTCTGGATTGGGGTCAGTCTGAAGCTAACTTCTCCTGAAAGGACGTCTCTGTGTAGAACCTTCACCTGCCCTGGTCTTATTCCCTTATAAGTATAGCAGGAGAGCACTCCCTCAGTAAATCCCTTTGCTTTGAGGGAACCTGATTTAAGATAGTCACTTTACAAATCTGATGCCTGTAGCCAATTGACCCAGCCGCTGTGGTCCTAATTCCAGATATCCAGGAGAGAGAACTAGATCAGTTCAGGTTAAGCCCAGTCCAGTTTCCAGGCTGAACCCTGGATCAGGAGTTCCTCCAGGTTCAATCATCTGTGGCTGGAGAGGAGCCAGGGTTATATAGTATAGGATAGAAGATGGGTACAGAGAGAGAGAGAGGGCAACTCTTAGGAAGGATTGGCCAATTCCTGTGAACATGGGCCCTACCATCTTGTCCTTCTCAGTTTTTCTTAAATTCTTGTCAGTCTTCTCACTCCTCACCTCTTCCCCATCTACAATCCTATGTTTGGATTGGAGGGTGAGGTGTTGAAAGGTAGTACCATGTGATGAAGAAAGATCTGGATTGAGTGTCTGTAGGCTTAGGTTGTAGCTGCCTCCCTCTGCTTGCTTTGCTTTGTATCTCTAGCTCTGAGGTTTCAGGTAAATTAGAGAGTCGGTTTGCCAATTTAAATAGTCATGCTTCTGTGAAAACAAAGAATCTGGGCCTTTCTTTCTTTCTTTCTTTCTTTCTTTCTTTCTTTCTTTCTTTCTTTCTTTCTTTCTTTTAAAGATTTATTTATTTATTTATGAGAGAGAGAGAGAGGCAGAGACACAGGAGGAGGGAGAAGCAGGCTCCATGCCGGGAGCCCGATGCGGGACTCGATCCCGGGACCCCAGGACCGCACCCTGGGCCAAAGGCAGGCAATAAACCGCTGAGCCACCCAGGGATCCCCTAGGCCTTTCATCTCTGCATCTCTGAACTCGGCAGATGGGCTGGCACAGAGTTAGAACACTGGCAACATATTGAAAACAAGAGATATCCTTTCAAAAGGAAATGACCATGAATTACATTAAGGTAATAATGTAGAGCTTGACCCAGAAGCATGCAATATTCTGAGTGTGGAGCCAGCACACTTAGTAAGTGCTAATTTGTGTCAGGTCTCTGTTAAGTACTTTGTGTGCTGTTCTGATCACTGCTGCAATGTAACAAATCACCACAAAACTTAGATGCTTAAATTGACCATTTTATTATGCTCATAAATTCTGTGGGTCAGGAATTTGGACCAGATGCTTTGGGAATGGCTTGTCTCTGCTTCATAATGTCCAGGTCCTCGGTTGGGAAGATTTGACATCAAGGAGCTGGAATCACCCAGAGGCATCTTCACTCATATGACCAGTGCTTCATGTAATGTTAAATGGGACATCAGCTGGGGCTGTTGACCAAAGCCTGGACTTCCTCGGAATGGTGGCTTCAGCCTAGTGGGATCTTGTAGGTGGCAGCTCTGAGTTCCAAAAGCAATTGGCCCAGTTCACAAGATAGAAGCTTTGTTGTTTTTATGATCTAGGCTCAAAAGTCAAACTGTATCATTTCCACCACATTCTACACATTCTATTGATTACAAGCCTGCCCAGATTTAAGAATAATGGAATTAGGCACTACCTCTTGACGAGGTGAGGGGCAAAGTTCTCATAGAACATGTAGATTAGAAAATATTGTGGCCATATTTAGAAAATTCAATCCACCAAATGCATATTATCTCATTTAATCCTTCCACTGTACTTGGAGTAGGCATTATTGTCCCTTTACAGATAAAGAAACTGATATTCAGAGGACTTCAGTAACTTGCCTGTAGACAAAGCCAGGACATGGCAAGACTGGACTTAAATCCAGTCTGTACAAAGCAGGTGTTCTTCAACAGCATATATGCCACTTATAGAAAAAGGGAACTGAAAAAAATAAAGAAATCCAAAAGCCAGTTCTCCCTGGGCTCAAGATCAGGAATAGGTAAGACTTCTTATCACCCATAACTCTAGTGTCAGTTAATATCTTCCTCACGTGGTAAAGGAATTTGTTTCCTATGTATAACTTCCTGAGGTATTGCTTCTTGGAAAATGTGTAACCATTGTGCGTACCTTTGGTGCTTCAACTTTGCCCAGTATATGCTGGCAGTGGGGTTGATGTCTGCCTTCCTCCCCCACCCATTCATTTGGCAAAGGATTGTGGGGAATAAAAAGCTGGAGGAAGCTCTGATTCACACAGAACCAATTCATGCCATGAGTATCTTCTCCGCCGTGATCCCCTTTTGAAGCCATATGTCCCCTTTAAGTTCAAACAAGGACCACTTCCTCCAGGAACTCATCTTTGATACTCCCAGGATTTTTATAATCAGAATGTTCAGATGATGGTTGGCACTTACAGCTTACTCTGTAGGTTTCTGTGTCCTAACCCTCCAATTAATCTAAGGCCCCAGAGGGTAAGGGCCATGTCCTATTCTCCTCAATTCTTCTCCCCAACACCACAAGAACAATACCCCATTCTGAACAGGTACTCAATAAATGGGACTGATTAGATCAGAGGGACTTAGAAGTTTATTATTATATTGTATCAGGAGGACACACATGCATCTTCAAAAGCAGTTTTGAGAGCCTACCCTATCATAGGCATTGTGCTAGGTGCTAACAATCCATGTGATCCAGGAGCAGGAGTTTAGAAATCAATTATGAGCCTCCTGGGTACTCTGCAACATGTCAATAAGATCCGAACTGATGTCTAGAAGTGAAGCATCCTTAATCAGGTTAGGAGGCCTCCATATAGGGTGAATTTGAGGCAAGTAGTATAAGGTTACAATCTCAATCAGCTCTTAGATGATTCTAGGTTCAGACACTTAGAAAGTCCCTAAATACGGTTTTTAAAATTCAAAATCTTGACTTTCACTTCTTTAATAAGTTTTTTGAATATATTTTTTTTAGCTAGAGCTATCAGATAGGAAAAGGATGCTGGCCTTACTAGTCTTTATTTCCAATTAGTCTTCCCTTCCAATTTGTAATAAGCAAATTTCTCTATCCTACTTTAAATTTGTCACTATTTCACCACAAAATGTTCTTAAAAGCTATGACCTTTGGAAACACCCTTACATGTTCCAAATCAGCCAAAAAACCTGTTCATAAATCTTGGTGTTTATTAGTGTTTCATTTTCACTCCTTATTCATACCATGAGCTCTTGATCTAAACATAACCCTGTTGTATAATACTATTTCCTCAACATACCATCACCAAGAATAAAACAACCATAAATAATTACCTTTGGGATATGAAAGAAAATGTAAACATTTTATTTGGCAGTTGTTTCTGAACACATGAATAAATAAATGGAAAAGTACATATTAATATTTCTTTTTGGAGTAACAGATACCATTAAACACTTATTTACACATCTTCACTGCAAAGAACAGTCACACAATTCAATTTTGTCTTATAAAAGGTCACTTCCCACACCACTGGACTGGACAGTTAGGGATGGAGATACTGGTAGTGCTTGGTTCTAGTAGTCTCAATGTTTGAAAGGCATTCATTTGCAAGTGTGATAAGAAGAGTCATCATGCATTGAGTTCATCCGGATCATGTACTGTAGAAAGTTTCTGATGGCAGCCACAGAATTTGGTGTGTCATGCGCTTAAGTCAACTATGACATGTTTGTAAATCTGTGTATTTCCCTTAAAACTGGAAGCAAAAAGAAAATTACGCTTATTAATGGACACATGCGTGAATGATCTCGGCGCCTGAACATTTAATTCCTGAAATTTCACAAATTTGGCTTTCTCTGCATCCCAGTTATACACTTGAGTAAAGGAATAATCACTTCCAAGAATTGCATATTGGTAGTTATTTATCTGAAGAGGCTGGAACACCATGGATCCTCGTGATGGCATCCTCTGAATATCCTGAAATGAGGAACCTCCCCATTTCATTACTTTGGAATCACCAATGAATCTTGTCAAGCAAATGTACACGTCACCTTTCACGGAGAAGTGCTTAACAGCATATACATCCTCCATGTTAGGGATGTCAGTTTGGTTAGTGAATAATTGTGTTGCTTTGTTCCACTGATAAATTACAGGACGCTGGGAACTACTAGACAGGATTAAATGAGGCGTTCTGAGTGTCTGAGGTGTTCTGGCTATTTCTAGATATTCCACATCAGTGTCCCTGTACCACGCATGTAAGGATTGATGGGAGTAGAATCCATTTCCATTCCATTTATAAATGGTAGTAAAACCAGCTTTTGAACTGTCAGCAACAACAAAGTACCAGTTGTTTTCAATCTTGAATGTTTCAATGTCATTGGGTTTTCGGATTTTGAGAATTTCAATATCCTGGATTTTTATAAATTTATTTGCAAAACTGTCTCGCTTATAGATGTGAGAGCCGCCAAACAGCTGGGCCACAATAACATAGAGCTGAGTTTCAATGACTATAGGCTTGCACACTACAGTGGACGTGCCTGGGAAAAGACAAATGAGAGATTAGTTGGATGGCCATCCTCTTTTGCAGCATGTAAATGTGCAGGCTGAGGCCATACAACTTCCACCAAGATCAGCCTGGAATAAGACATTTCCTTGGTTGAATAGGCAAGGCCAATCTCCAAGGCCCAATGGCAGCAGGATTATGAAGTTCTGTGCCTTTGTGCCTCATGAGGCCTTGTTACCGAAAACTGAGTTGTCAAGTCACATCCAACCTGCACTAGACGTTCAGGACACACAGCTACAGCCTGAGTTTTCTCCTCTCACTTCTTGCAGAAAGAAAGCATTGCTTTCCCTGACACATCATGAGTTAATTACCATAATTCTAATGAAAGTTGCCATTTCTTGAGCACTATGTGCTTTGCCAAATCATCGCATTAAAAATTCCCAATAATCTTAAGACATAAATATCATTATCCTCCCTTTTGCAAGTGAGCAGACTGAAGCTCAAAGAGTTTCAGTGCTGCTAGGAGAAGGCAAAGTTGGGAATCAAATCCAGGTCTACCAGACTCTTTATGTTTTTAACCCAACCTTTGGGGAGGTGAGCTATTCCAGGGCTTCCAACTTGGACTAGAATCCCACAAGTTTCTAGAAACCTTGAAACAAAGTTTTTTGTTTTTTTAAAAAAATATTTTATTTAATTATTCATGAAAGACACACACAGAGAGAGGCAGAGACACAGGCAGAGGGAGAAGCAGGCTCCACGCAGGGAGCCCGATGTGGACCCTGGGATCACGACTTGAGCCAAAGGCAAACGCTTAAGCACTGAGCCACCCAGGCGTCCCCCAACTTACAAAGTTTTGAACAGTGATCTGGGTAGCCCATGGTTCTACCTGTAATTAGTTTGTTCCTAGTGTGAATGGCTTCTTGCTCTAAAAATAACCTGATTTTCCCCTAAGGAAGGAAAGAGATGCCACTTGTCATTTTTCTGATGCTTTAGGTCACTGGTGGCAAGAGAGAAGACAAGGAAGAGGAATCCTTGAGAAAAACGAAAAGAGGGTTACAGTCACAGGTAAAACTCCTGAAAGTTATTTTGGGATATTGCAGAAAACAATATGGATCAGTATCCTTGCTCAGTATCCTTTTGGTAGGAGTTTGACATATATCAGTAAATTCTGATCAACTAGAGGGAGCTTGGCTCTAGGAAATCTAAACAGAGCAGTGAAAATCTGGGCCTCAAGCCTTTTCTAATTTTGAGAGCTCCAAAGCAGTAAGATCTGCATCAACTCTTTCTACTAAGGTGAAACTATTCTATTTGTGACACTTTTCAGGATTCCAGTGATTGTGTGATTTTGGGAAAATCACTTAACTTCTCTGTAATTCAGTTTTCACTCTGTACAATAAGGGTTTGGAGTAGATCACGGATGGCCACTAGATCTCAACTATGTATCAATACTGATCAACTGATTGATTGGAAAACTGTGTTGAGAAGGATTCTGTAGCTCTGTCTGTACTCTGTAAGAACACCATGAATGATTAGCAATATCTTTCTGGAGTAAGGGAGGTCATAGTGGATGCATCATTTGAAATATATTTATCTTTGATGAGATAATGTCCTCTGTATATATGTGATTCATTTCTCTTTCAAGTGTTCATCTGAAGAATCATCTAGAATAATTGATAGACTATACACAGGTAAGAACCTAATTTAAACTGCACAAAGCTGTTGCAGTTCATTGGAAAACTGAGGGGTTTGGGAGAAAGGGAAGCATGATCTTCCTCCTTGAGAAAGAAGGAAGCTTCTGGGAGGACTTCAGTTTGGAGAAAATCTCTTCATCTGGGCACCTCAGTCTCAAGCAAACTCCAGACCTGTCTTGATCCTGTAAGTAATGGGGCTGAAGGCCACCAACACAATCTAATTGTGACCCTTCCCACCCCAAAAGGGTACTCTTATACAGGGAGGTTTGAACGTTCTTAGGAGCAGATTTCTTTTTTTAAATTTTTAAAAAGGATTTTATTTATTTATTTGAGAGAGAGAGAAAGAGTGAGAGAGAGCATAAGCAGGAAGAGGGAGAGGGAGAAGCAGACTCTCTCTGAGCAGGGAACCCAAAGCGGGGCTTGATCCCAGGACCCTGGGATCATGACCTGAACTGAAGGCAGATGTTTAACCAACTATACCATCCAGGTCCCCCTTAGGAGCAGATTTAAAGGTGTTAGAAGCTAAAGCTGATGGAAACGTTTCAGAGGAAGCTCCATATTCTAACTTGTTTAAAAACTATAAACTTGTGGAAATGAGAACAAAATTTAAGAGGTCACCTAAGTAAAAGTTTTCATGGAAAAAAAGTGGTTCCCAAGCTCAAATTAAATGCACAAAACACTGGAAAGAGGCTTCCTCACTGCTAGACTTCTCAGAGCCTCATATGTGTATTATTATGAATCTCTAAGAGGGCGATATGGCTCACAGATTTATTGAACCAAAAACCATTTTTGTCACAAGGCGTACATTAACATTTTTTAGGAGTCACATTTGTGCAACAGAGCTTGCAGAGTCATTGATCTAAAATAACATCTTTATTTTATAGTTAAGAAAAAAGGAAGGCTCAGTGAGGGTGAGTAGCTCACCCAGCTAGTTTGTGGCAGAACCTGGATTAAAACTCATGATTCCTAGTCCAATACTTTTCTTTTGAAGAAAAATAATCCATCTTTTATTGCATATTTACTTTGCTAAATTCTATGCTAAGTTTCTTGAATATGTGATCACATTATCTTATGATTACATCATCTTACAACAATCCTGTGAGTTAGGTACTATTATTCTCATTTACAAGTCAGGAAATTGAGGTTTAGGAGAGTCCTCAGTCACTTAGTAAATGATACAGTTGGGAATTAAAGGAGTCTAAGCCTGCCCACGCATCCCCTATATCAGTTGTCTTTCTCTGTTGCCCTTGGTCCAACTTGCTTAACTTTCTATTCAAAATATGATTAGGCTTTTCATACCTGTAATGTTGTCATAATTTCGGAAGGTCTTTTCTACGTGGTCCCATTCAAGGAAAATGCACTTTCCAGTAAAAGGCTGAGCAATGACTACATACTCATCATTCATATAAGAAAAAGTATCTATGGACAGTGATTGATAAGGCAGGTCTTGAGACTTTGCAAATTCTGCAAAAATAGGAAATGATGATGAATAACCATGTGCTAATGCGTCACTCCTTGGCTAGATCTCAAATGTTCTTAAGAGATACATTTATTTAAGAGTAAGAGTAAAATGATAACTTTACTTTGCTTTTAAACACACGAAGTTTTAATGCTTTATCAAATTTTAAAAAGTAAAATTGGATGGTTGGCTTTTAAAGATATAAAAAATATCAATTCCTGCACACACAAAAATGTAGCCCTATTTTTAGCTTTATGAGGTGGAATGATTTGGAATAATTACCTGTAATAATGCAATCAAAATCCTTGGGAGAGAGACTATTGATTTTGCGTTTTTTGTATTCTGGGGGGCCTTCACAGTAGATGTCTTCAACAGTTGCATTGGTGTGGCCCAGCCATTCTACCAGCCACTTCAGTTTACAATCACAATTAAATGAATTCCCTCTCAGGTCCCTGAAAGACAAACTTCAGTTGCTTTGCTGTAGGATTATTCTACCTAAACAGGTATGACTTCTACTTCAGCAATTAACATATGGAGAATGCCTTTACCCAGTTTTACATCATGCCCCATAATCTACCTTGAACTTGACTGACAATTCATTTTAGAGAGTTCCCACAGTTCATCCTTGAATGCCACCCATTCAATAGAACTTCATAACTTAGTCCCTCTTGGATCAAAGGTAGCTCTGTCTAAAGCTGTGCTGTCCATAGAACTACAGTGTGAACTATATATGTAAATTAAATTTTTCTGTATTTCTGAAAAAAGTAACAAGAAGTAGGTGAAACTAATTTTAAAAATATATTTTATTTAAAATAACTTATTTTATTAATTTTAAAATAATATAATTTATTTAATATTTCACACAAAATATTATCATTTAGATGTGTAGCCAATACAAACATTATCAATGAGATATTTTACAGTTTTAAAAAATATCTCAATTTGGATGCTAAGTTTTCATCAGAAGTATGTGATCTATATTTAGATTTCATAAAACTTATAGTTGGAAAAAATAGTTTCACACGTCCAAGTTGTTCCAAACATAATTCTTTCAATAGTTGAACTGAGAATCTGTTTTTCAATTTAAATTTAGTTTTTTAATTTTTTAAGAATTAAGTGAAATCTTTTTTTTTTTTTTTTTAAGAATTAAGTGAAATCTAAAGCTTTGCTCCTTAGATGCACCTGGAACGCTGCTTGGTAACCACATGTGTGGCTACCATGTTGGCCAGTGCAGGTCTAGAGGGTAGAATATAGTCCTTATTGTATCATATTCAATTAAATCAAGGGAGCTATTTGTTTTTGTTCTTTCTCAAAGATGTAATTCATCCTGATGCTATTCCATGGTCTACAAATTCAATTTTAATAGGAAATGGCTTTGACACAGCAGAGTTAACTCAGACGTACAGCAGCTCATGTCTGTGATAAACTATACAGCATGGATAATTTCAGTTTCCACATATGATCCCAACTCACCAAGCTTTCTGTTTATTTGCATTGCTTCTGTTCAGAAATTCCAGCTCCTTCCTAGACCCTTCTCAGTCACACAGAATTCCTACGATAGATACTGCCTCATCTTCACACAGCACGTGAATAATTTTTAAATGTTGAAGCATTTAAAAAAGTTTTTTTGGGGATACATTCAAGAAAACCAAGAAATCCGCTAAAAGACAAGTTGGCAAGGATTCTTGTACTTCTTAGATAATTCTTAATTTGGGCATATCAGAGTAGGCCCAAGAGGCCAAACCCATTATGGGATTTCCATAGAGATTGAGTCAATTTCAAGTGTGTTTTTGTTGTTGTTGTTGTTGTTGGTTTTTTTTGCTTTTTTTTTTTTTTTTCTCAAGGATGGGCCAGAGGATGACGCCCAAATAAGCTGCATCCTCAAGTCTGCCATGGCGTATCATCTAACTTCCAAGACATTCCCAAGACTGACTTCATCTCCCAAGAATATTCTGACCCTAAATAATGAGTGTGAACTTCTCTGGGTGATTGTAAACCAGAACGGATAACTGTGGTCTGTCCGAGACCCTCTTGGATGTGTCTTGCTTCTGGCACTCTCTTGGAAATAAATCATCATTCAGGAATTGGGGCACTAGGCATTGAGGCGGGGCTGGGGAAATACCAGAAGGAACAAAGAAAGTTTTTCATTAGCTTACTGATTTGAAGTTAAATACTAGGTTTAGGAGAAAATACTTGATTCAGATCTCAGATTGGAGAAAAGTTGTTTTGAGTATATATTCTGTAGCAAAATACCTTAATTGATAAGAAACCTTTTTTTTTTTTTCATATATCCTTTCATTTGTCCCTGTATCTACCTTATGACCATTTAAATACCCTTCTAATGTCTGGAAGGAACTTAATGAAGCTTAATTGCTTTTGAGAGAGTTAGGCATATATTACTTGTTTTGCTTACAACAAAATATACAAATTCCTTACAAAGATCTTTCACTCTGAGGCTTAAAAGTCAAAGTTTGAAAGCTCTTTTGTTTGAAAAAGGGTCAAAAATAATTAAGTTCATTCCCTTTCCTGGGGCTTAAGCCAAATTCCTGGGGATTAAGCCTAGAGTTGTTGTTCAGTCTAAGGAGAGAAAAGGCAAACTTGCCTCCCTTCCCCCACTTCCTGCTCCATTTCTCTGTTGACTGACCAACCCATGGGTGTAACCTTTCTTCTACACTCGGTCAGTTTCCCAGACTCCTTTATGTTTTTCCTTTCGTAGCCCTATTTCCTGGACCTCATGAGAAAAAAGGCATCTTGAAATTTTACTCTGGGCCTCCTCTTCCCACCCCCTCAAAGTCGTTTATCAGCACCTCCTCCCATAGGACACACACTTTGCCCCAAGGAATGCCTGGGCACTTTATGTTCAGAATTTCCAGTGGGAAATACCATAGAAGACTCAAACATTAGTTCAAGTAAATTTAAAATTTAAACCAATTTAAAATTTAAATTGTAAGGCCCTAATTAAAATTTAAAGCCAATTACAAATTCTAAACATCAATACTAGGCTTCTTTGTTAACTACTACAAATTAATTAATCAATGATTTCTTAGGTCCTCTTACACATTTGTTAAAGAATCCAGGCCTTTGAAAATATCTTTTGGGAGTGTCTGGAGATTGTTGTTTGCAAGGCTCCTGGAAAAAGAAAAAAAAAAAAAAAGAAAGAAAGAAAGAAAGACTGATGTAAACTATAATGATAAACTAAATAAAATGCATTTTATGATAAAACTTAATTATGAATTCCTTTTATTCTTTCCTGACTTCACTAAATTACTTGCAGTACCTTTTTTATTTCTTCTTCTAAAATACTACTAACATTCCCACTATCATATTTTTAATTCTTGGTTTCTTTGCTTTAATGCTCACTCAGTCTTTATGGCACTTTATGTATCATGGCAAAAAAAGAAACTGACAAACCCCAAATCACCAGCAACAAAATGACATTGGGCGTTGATCTTTCTATGTAGAATGGAATATGAGATTCATACTCTTAGACATTCAGTCTAGGGGATGTGTCCCAAATGATGACTAACTAAATGGGTCACAGTGCCCATTTCCCTTCACACTCAGGCTGCCCCTGCTCCTCCCTCTCTTCTCATTTGTTTCAGACCATGGCCAAACCCCAACTGACAGTGCCAATAGCTCTGGAGTTTGGGGATCTACCTAATCTATTCCCCTGCCAGCACATCGTTTCTTCTTTCCAAAGTATATACTCCTTTTTTATATTTTTCTTTTAGTTCCAGTCATTTGACCTCAGAAAACAACTTTCTCACAAATATCCATCCATCCGTCCGTCCATCCATCCATCCATCCATCCTTTTTAATCATCTCCTTTCCTTTTCTTCCAGTTGTCTTATTGTCACAGGAATTGTTTTCTCTTCCTCCTTCTATGTGTTCTTTCATGAATCACTATAATTATTCTAATCAAAGCTAATGAGTAAGGAGTGATGGTATCAAGAAAAGAGAAATGTGTCCATATTGCAGAAGTGTAAACATAACAAGGAGTGGCCCCTGCATGATAGGAAGGGATATAGGTGCTGATAATTTTCTCTTAACCAGACTTGTGTGTGTATATACCTGTTATATACTTTTCTTATGAATGTTTTTCTTCCACAAAAAAATTAAAAACTAAACTGAAGCAAAGAGCTTATGTTGTTGGCCTTCAAAGTCCTTGAAAATTCTCTCAAATTCCATTTAAAAGACTCTTAAAACTCTTCTGTCTTTTACCTGCTCTAATTAATATGAGATTTCTCAAGTGCAAACATTCAAGACTTTTAAAACCTATTTTAAAGTTAATTATGTTGTTTTCCTGAGTTTTAGAAATTGTGAGTAGGTTGGAAAACTCTTTTCAATGGACCTTGGAACATAAGAATGGGAACTGAATCTGAATGTTCCAGTCTCAATGACGGTTCATTATGTAAAGAAGGGCAGTTTTGGAGCTATTCAGAGTTTGGTTTGAATCCTCTCACTCCACTATTTCCTGGCAGTGTGACTTTAGCTTTTTCGTTTTTTTAGGGGAAGGTAATAATACCTCGTGTCACAAGATAGAGAAAGTAAATGAGATAACTCCCGATGGTACCTGGCATCTGGTCTGCTTTTTAACAAAGAACAGCAGGGAAGGGGGTGAGAGGAAAAGCAAGAGAACGGCTTGCCAAATAAACAACATTTAGAAAATTGGCCATATGAAAGAACCACTATGACTGTAGTGGTATTAGGATTAATAAAATGTTGCTAAAGAAGACTTTTCAGAAGAATGTCTCTATAATTCACCTTTCTGCCTAGTTGAATGGAGAGACTTTCTGGTGTCTTGGACTAGTCCTGAGTCACTCCCAAGTTATGTGTCTTAAAGTTCTCATGTGAACTTCTAAGTGGATGAAACAAACTGCAACTGGTTGCAAGGTGCAAATTTAGAGGAGGCTGGGTCACAGGACAGTGGGCGTGAAGTGAAGAAACAGTTAAGTCCTGAAATACTACTGCCATCAGAGTTGCCCAGGGAGAGGCACACCATGTTTGCGTTGCTGCCCAAGGCAGTTCTTTTAAACAATGAGCAAATCTGGGAGTTCCACTTGCTGCCCAAAGGTTAGAAGCTCTAGGCCTCACATACCCAAGGTGAAGGCCAACTACAGAAACAGCTGTTAAGACATAGACTTGGGGCTACAATGCTTCTGGGGTAGAGAGAGATCATTTTTCCATGACAAGATGGAGGTCTTTTAATTCAACAGCCTTGGGGGATGGGGCTGATGAGGGCAGGCTGGCATTCTTGGGCTGTAAAATGAGGCTTTATGCCCTTTGAGGACTTCTTGTCACAGGCAGGCTCTCACTCTGGGGACCAGTGGGTGGGGGAGGCAGGGAGGCATGAGCGGTGCCAGAGACAGAAATGGTGGATGGATTTATTGCATTTAATGTGACTCTCTTCCTGTTCCACTGCCAAAATTCAGTGAAATACTGACTCACAGTGGATTGTTTCTGAAAAAGATAGGACGGAGCTTCATGCCTAGGTTTGCTGAGGAGTAGGCATAAGAAGTCTGCCTGGCCTCATAAAAGAGGCAGAAACAAGAGGAAGTAAGACCCAGAAAGGACGGGAAGGCTTCTGGATGGATGCCTGAGGTCCAAGAAGGATTTATTTTTTTTAAAGATTTTTATTTATTTATGAGAAACATGAGAGAGAGAGAGAGAACGGCAGAGACATAGGCAGAAGGAGAAGCAGGCTCCATGCAAGGAGCCTGACATGGGACTTGATCCTGGTACTCCAGGATCACACCCTGGACCAAAGGCAAGTGCTCAACCACTGATCCACCCAGGCTTCCCCAAAGAAGGATTTAGATAGTTTCCCTAAAGTCTTTGGGAGGCCTCAGTGACTGGGTTTACATTTAAGAAGGGACTGGAGCAGAGAATGTCCTAGGAAAGCAATTCTGAGAAATCCCAGGAATTATTCTGCAAAACAAATGCAACAGCCCTAATATAAAGTAGCTTTCCAGTGCGGATTGATGGGTAAATGGTGAAGGATGCATAGGGCACATAGGAGACCAGCAGAATATGCAAAGTTAAGAAGAGAGATACGAAATGCCTCCACACATTAATTAGCTGGCCAATTAAGAGTATTTACCAATTTACCAAGTGAAGAGGAGTTGAATTATTTTGAGCACAATTGGGGAAAGATATTTATTCTAGCATTATGTCTAATAGAAAAGAATTGGAAACAACCTACATGTCCATTAATAAGGGATTGTGTAAATAAGTGATGGTTTATACTTAGCATGGAATATGTTGCAGGAAATTTTATTTTATTTTATTTATTTTATTTTATTTTTTTGCAGGAAATTTTAAAACATGAGGTAGAGCTCAATGATTTAACACAAAATGATGCTTAAGGGGAAAAAAAGGAAATTGGAGAATAGTAAGTAGAAAGTAATTCCACTTGGGGAGGGAGGACACATATCTAACAATGCATAAAGAAAGGTCTAGAAGGAGACATAATCTTTTACATTTGGAATCTTTTACTTTTGCTATATAGACGTTTAGATTGTGAGATTTTTTTTAATCATCAAGCACGTATTGTTATTTTAAATTCAGAAGAAACAAAGAATAAATTTGAGGTTTTAAAAACACCCCATTGGGCAGCCCTGGTGTCTCAGCGGTTTAGCGCCTGCCTTCAGCCCAGGGCGTGATCCTGGAGACCCCGGATAGAGTCCCACGTCAGGCTCTCTGCATGGAGCCTGCTTCTCCCTCTACCTGTATCTCTGCCTCTGTCTCTCTATCTCTATCTCTCTGTCTCTCATGAATAAAGTCTTTTAAAAAATAAAAATAAAAATAAATAAAAACACCCCATTGCTTAGTATGTGTGTATGGAATGGTTCTGTCCAGTGAGGATTTAGTGATTCTAAAACAGCTATTTTATTTCATTCATAAAGCCCCAAAGTTACTGGAGTGTGAATAAATGTCAGGGTCAGTATGTGGGTGCCTGAATGGTCAGATGATATCAACTCTTTCATGAGATGGGTTTCAGGATGGAGCTCCCATTTTTCTCACAAGATTCCCACAGGGTTTCAGGCCCTCATCCTCTGGAGAATTTTAAGACTGCAGTTAGTCTAGATGGGAGCCATCCCTCTGATTCCTTGCACCAGCTGAAATTCAGCTTTGAGGAGCACCTGGAGCTTCAAAAACCATCTCAGGCATCTGGGGGCCTAAGGGAAATTCTCTGTGGGGGGTGGGGTGGGATAGGGTCTCCTGAGGACTCTGCACCAGGGTGGCCAGGAAGAAAAAGTAGCAACTTCCCAATGCTCCCTGAAACCTGCTCAGCATTTGGTCCTTAGGTGAAAAGGGTGAAGATCTGGTGCCTATTAGGTTATTTAAACAGCTAGAGAGATTGAGATAGCATTTCATGGGTTAGGGTTAGAGTTTTTAGGCTTGATGTTAGGATCATTTGATTCTTCAGATTCCATCCCTGCATTGAGTCTTGCTACTGGAGAACAAAATGGAAAAATCGAATGCATTAAATTTTCTCAGTTTCTCCTTTCCCTCCATCATCTCCCCAGCTTCACAGAGTAACAGCTTCATATTATTATTCCCTTTTCCCTAATAGAAGCTCTAGTTGAAATATGTTCTGTGTCTTTTGTAAAACTGGCTGTCATTCTCATCCCTGGCATCACTGAGTTGAAGCCCTCTCAAGCAGACAAGGGCTTCAGTTTGAGTATCCTCATTTTCAGGAGTATGCCTTTCACCTACTTGATTTAACCTCTTTTGGTTTCTGCCTCTCCGTCTGCAAAATGGAGTAAAGAATACCAATTTCATTTATTGTGAAAAAAATTTTTTTTAAGTTTTTATTTATTTATTCATGAAAGAGAGAGAGGGGGGCAGAGACACAGGCAGAGGGAGAAGCAGGCTCCATGCAGGGAGCTCGATGTGGGACTCGATCCTGGGACTCCAGGATCACACCCTGAGCCAAAGGCAGATGCTCAACTGCTGAGCCACCCAGGCATCCCCATTTGTTGTGAAAATTAACACACACAACTAATTTTTTTTTTTACACACATGCTTTTGAAGTGGATTCCAGGTAAAAATTCTGCATCTGTAGGTGAATATTTAAACCTTATGTCAGATAATCAAGGCCACAAAACTAATTTGTTTGTTGTTGT